AATGTACAACAAAACAGCAACAACATCAAGCCACTGACAAAGAACAAATTAAAATATACCAAGAAAGAAAAGCTTGTGTTTTCCAGTCTAGCCTGTTGGGACACCATGCCCTGTCTCCAATGTCCACCCTCATCATTCCCTGGGGATCTTTGAGTTTCAGAAACTCCAGTGTGAAGGGGCAGGACTAGGGTGGGTGGGGTCAGGTTGCCCAGGGACACTCTCCTAGGACAGCCGTCACTGTTCTTGAAGAGTGAGTGTAGGTGCCTTATCGTGATGGGAAAAAATTCCTTGCAAAATTTCCTGGCCTTTTTCTCGCCTATGCGATTTTCCGTTTTCTTTAAAACTTCCTCCTGTTTTGAGACTGATGAGGGCAATGAATAGACAAATGTGCTTTACACAATTGATATATGTATGGATTGTGATAAGAGTTGTGTGAACCCCTAATAAAATGATTGAAAGAAAGGAAAAAAAACCTTTTTCCTGATAAGTCCCCCTCGGTGACCCTGTGTTCCCCCAGAAATTCTGTCAGAATTATCCCTTTGAACCCAACGAAGCTGCTGCTGTAATATTCTGAGCTAACCTCTCTGCCTTGAGCTTCCCTGGCCCAGCTGAGCCCGTCAAAAGTCACACGTTTCTGTTAGACCGTGCTTTCTCTGTCCTATTGGTAAGTCCCGGGTTAGCATTCCTTCCCTGAGATCTGCTCCTTAACTTCCACCTCGCTTACAGAACTGGTGGAAAAGCCAGCTCCTGGGCTGGCTGATCTTGACAGCACCATCGAGTAAAAGCTCCTGAAGCCAAGAGGCTTGCTGCAAGATAAAAATGCCCAGTCCTGTGAGGTCCATCTCCTTCCCAAAATGGCCGTTCTCTGCTCTGTCAGCACTTCCTAGAGTCCAGCCACAGTGTGGAGGCCAACGGTCTCCCCTCTTGGGCTCACCTGTAAGGGCTTTCCAACCTTCCCCCAAACACCTGGCCCGCCCACAGGACTGTTTTATGCGAGTCGGCAGTGCCCTATACATCTGTCACGAAGCTGTGATGATTTGGGAAGGCATCCACTTGACTCCGAATTTGGCCTTGACCTCAATCCTGTTTTTCCCCAGGGCATACAGAGTACGTCGTTGTTGTTTCAAGGCACCCTAGTGAGCCTAAGACAAGTGGGTTACTGAGAGAACGTGTCTGCAGCCATCCACCCACTTGTCACTGAGACTCCGCACGCTCTGTTTGGAATGAGCCTGTGCACGGCTGAATGGGAACCCTGTAGCAATCCTTTTTGGCTTGCCCTGGTCCTACCAGCTGAGGGAGGACCCCGGTGAGCCTATCCCTGGTATACAAGCACACATACAGAGCTAGGTTTGCTCTTTTTATTGCCCTCAGTGTACCTCCTTCTGGGGCACCGAGAGATTTGTTTTCACCGTCATCCATTGGCTAGCTGCACTGTTTTGCAGCCTTGTGTCATATTTTATAGTAGGGTAGAGATTGTGGTTTAGGCAACCATACCCCTTCTTTTGGGCAGTCGAGTTATTTCGGCTTTCTGCCACTGATGTGTAAACATGACCATATTACTCTGCGGTGATGCTCTTTTCTTCAGAAGTACCAAAGGGAACCGTGTCTGAAATGTTTTACTAGCTACTGTCAGATTGCTTTCCCAGGCAGTTTTACACTTCTGATTACTTTTTCAAATGCAGCGAAATGCTTGCCGAGGGCAGAGAAATGGGGAGTCAAGAGCCCTGTGTTCGAATCCTGGCTCCGGTGTATGAGATTGGGTTTGTTGTGCACAAAACCTGGTGTTCGTCTTTAGAATCACCCATAGGTGACCATGTGGGAGTTTTGAGGAATTCGGGAGTTTGGCCAACTCTTTGCTTTTCATGGTTTCCAGGTGTGTGTGTCATAGAGGTTGCAGGTATATAGTCTTCAGAAGAAGTGTTTATTTCTCCAAATTCTCTTCAAGGCAGTGGTTCTCAACCTTCCTAATACCGAGACCCTGTAATACAGTTCCTCATATTGTGGAACCATAAAATACTGTTGCTACTTCATCACTGTCATTTTGCTACTGGTATGAATCGGGTGACCCCTGTGAAAGGGGTCTCAGCCCACAGGTTGAGAACCACTGCTCTGAGGCCTCTAGGACCCCGACAGGCTGTGCGTCTCTGGCCAGGACAGATCCCAGGACCAGAACTTGCTGCCTGTTGTCTGTTGCTCAGACCTCTGAGCCCAGAGCAGGAGCTGGGGCAGCTCAAGGGCAGTGGATCTGGAGTTTTGAGTTTCAGAAGAGCCCAGGCGCTTTTCCCCAGGATTCGGGAATGACGAGGGTTTTGTCTCAGGTGGAAACAGCCCCCTTTATTTAGTTTAACAGCGCGTGAGGCAGACAAGAGCCGCCTCAGGCAAGCTGAGGTGAGCCTCCAGGCGCGGTGGCGACGCTGGCCACATGCATGCTGCTCCCCCAGCCTGTCCTCCACTCTCCTGTCGCAGGTGTGCCGGCACGTGAAGAACGGGGACATTCTCCTCCTGAACCGGCAGCCCACCCTGCACAGGCCCTCCATCCAGGCCCACCACGCCCGGATCCTGCCTGAAGAGAAAGTCTTACGGCTTCACTATGCCAACTGCAAGGCCTACAACGCCGACTTTGACGGAGACGAGATGAACGCCCACTTCCCGCAGAGCGAGCTGGGCCGGGCGGAGGCTTGCGTCCTGGCTTGCACCGATCAGCAGTACCTGGTTCCCAAGGTAGGTCTGGACCCGCCCAGGGCGTTTCATGTCCGATCTGGACCCTGGTCGCACGGGGCCTAAGGTTGACCCGGGGCGGGCCATGTGGAACACGGGGATGTGGACTTCTCTCAGGTAGCGTCTGCAACCCTGTAGTTGTTTAGCAGCAGGGAAACAGGCCCCTGCCTTGCTGCTTCCTCAGCGGTCAGTCCAGAGAGAAACACTGATGTCCAGCCCCCAAAGCCAAGGTGAGTATCGTGGGAATGGAGTATCCCTTCCAGGCCCTGCACCCTCTTTCCTTTCTCTATTTCTCAGCCGTGCGCCCCCTGCCTGTGCTCAAGGGCCTAAGAGTTGTAAGTTGGACTGACTTAGGGAAAGCGTAGTCGAACACAGGTCACTATGCTTACATCAGTAAACAATTCCCTAAAATGTAAAAACGTCAGGTTCTTGGTTTACATGTGAATGTATATATTTTGTATCTTGAAAGTTCTGGTTATTAAAGTTGGAAAATGTTCAAATGGGGGGTGGGGGGGCGGTAACAACTTCTGGGTGCTGGCCTAATAGGTCACTCGCGCCACTTTCAGTCGGTTCCTCGTTGTCAGCCACGCAGCGCTTAGTGGGGAGGGATCATCAGCCTCTCCGTGTGGTGGTTATGCAGTGCGGTGACGGTCCTGAGGGCACAAGGCTGGTCTGTTCAAGCTGGGAAGGCCATTCTAAGATCTGTCATTTAATGTGCCTTTGGTTTCACTGCGTGTTTATTTCTGTTCCATTCCCCTTTGTATTTCTTCTCAATGTCCAGGGTGGTTCCCCCCACGCCTCCACCGGTTAACCATAGTGCTAGAATAAAGTCCTTTTTTGGGGGGGAGCTGATTTTAATACTTTCAGGAGAGTTTCTTGTGTTCTCTTAATTAAAGCATTAGGCAAATGAAATTTTGTTTTCTTTTACGAGAAAACAGTGGCATTTTTCATTTATGTTTTATATTAAGGATTAATTTCCTGCATCTGTTGTTTTTGTTAAGGGTGGAGATGTTCGTTAACCAAGCTTGAGACGGAGTTCCCCGCTTCTACTTAGCTAGAGGATTCTAGTCTCAGAGGACTAGTCTCACTAAGGACCCCACCCAAAGACACTCATTTGTGATGTCATTTTGTTGTGATACTCAGTGGACGGGGGTGCGGGACCATTTTCTGGGCTTTTGATTGAGAGACGTGTTTTTCATCCTAAACAGAATACAGGAAACCCAGACTTCCATAAGTAGGCCCTTAGTAATCTCCTTAATCAGCACTTCTACCTAGAATTTATGATTATTGCACTGAAAGCAGTTTAGCTATTAAAATACTTTTCTAGTCATGGAAAAATCTGGATGGAGAACAGAGAAGGCACAGAATAACATCACATCACTTGTAATTATGTTCTTTAAAGGAAGAAAACAAACGGAAAATTATCAGCCACTAACGGCTCTGGGATGAGTCAAATGCATAATACTGCTTTGGGGTTTTTCCCTCCAAGCAAAATAAGACCCTGTGTGTGGAGCAAGGTGCAGAGGGTGATCTTTTATTTATGTCACGGCTCAGAGCCGTCGGCACAAAGGCCGTACATGTGTACCATCGTGCCTGGCCTCTCTGGCACCTTTTTAGCCCATCAGAAGTCATTGTCCCTGCGTTTACGTTGACCCGCCGCCATAGTGCTTAGACCGTGGGACCAGCATCCTTTTCAGCCTTTGAATTAGTCGATGTGGTTGATTCCTGGCACTTCTCCTTGGCTGCACTTGTGAGTTCCTTTAGTTTCAGGAAGCGAGGCCATCATGTTGGAGAGTGTTTAACAAATAATCGAACGGTAGCAGGCTTTCAGCTCCAAGGCATAGAGCCCTCTCAAGTTCCTGTAAATGTTGAGAAGTTCACAAAAGCGGCTTTTTGAAGACTGTCCGTGAGCACTTGCTATTTTTACTTCAGTGTGCTTTAGGTTGCCATGAGCACAGACCCAACAGATAAGGTTCAAGAGACCGCGATCAGACTGGCTGGGACCAGCGTGGCCACTGCAAAGAGTGAGCCCGCCGATGCCGGGCCTTTGTGCAGGCCCTCGTTTCCGCCTGTGGGAGACAGCAGCCTTTCCAAAGGCCCCTCCTGGACCCGGGACTGCATGGTGGAGAGGGCCTCAGAGCAGGCATTCTTTCCTTCTGTCATCCACATGCAGGTTCTCCTAGGACCATGTGCCGGAACTCCTCCCTCCCTGGCTGCTGACACCTTGTTCCTCAGAGGCCGTCCTGGCTGCCCCCCACCCCCACCTCACCTCCCCCCAAGCTTGGCCTCCTGTTTCCCTCCATGTATTTAAAACACTGCGATACCGCATTTACCCAAACCCCTGGGTGCTGTCCAGCTTTTCCCCGTCACAAAAGCCCTTGGTCTGCTTGGTGCACTGCAATAGGCTGAGAGGCTAGCCCAGGGCCTAGGCATACAGTAGGCTCTCCACAAATATTTGTTGAATGGATGACTGATTTACGGGAGGACCGGGCCAGAAATGTGTGAAAAATACTAAAGCATAAAACCAAAGTATAAAAACAAGTAAGGACTAACAGTATCCAGGCTACAGTGATGCGTAAATGCCAAAAATATGCTGGAGTAACTAGAACCAGATGGGATTAAGCAGAACCGGGCCTGGATACATTTGAAGCTGTGTGAACACAGAGGGACAGAGAGCAAATGACAAACATGAACGCTGGTGGAGAAGCCCCTGGTCCTGTGCTGCGGGGGACGGCTGGCTCTCAAGACGAGAGGCTCCGGCTAGGTCTTGTTGAAGGCAGGCAGTGGGCCAGGACAATCTGGACATAGGACCGAAGGGCTCTGCTTGGAAGGCAGGCTCCAAAGAGATGACTTGGACTTGACTTCCACTTCACCTTTGTTGTTCTTTTGTCTGTTTTGGTCTGCAGGATGGCCAGCCGTTGGCAGGCTTGATCCAGGATCACATGGTCTCAGGTGCGAGCATGACCACTCGGGGCTGTTTCTTCGCCCGGGAGCAGTACATGGAGCTGGTGTACCGAGGACTCACAGACAAAGTGGGGCGGGTGAAGACCTTCCCCCCTGCCATCCTGAAGCCCCGTCCACTGTGGACAGGAAAGCAGGTAACTGGAAGGAAACCATCGGGGTGGGAGGGGAAGCAGGAAGCAAGCCAATCAAGGGTTCATTCCCACGAGAGCCCAGGCCAGAGCCAGAGGAGGGCCTTAGCAGGCAGCAGCCTGACGTTGCCTTTCTTTGGGGTTTCTGGGTCAGAACTCAGGGTTTCAAGGGAGTGCCCACTCAGTGGAGGAGGGCACATTCTTTCTCTCTTCTGCCTCGAACTTGGACGTGATGTCCTGGTCGTCATGCTCGTGGCGGTGGTGGGCAGTGATGCTGGTGGTCGTGGGAGTGACCTTTGTTGGCAGCACCCAAACAGTTGGCTGAGTGGCTTAGAGCTGATGCCTTAGGGAATCCTCATAGCCGATCTGCAGTGTAGGGACCATTATTATGATTTCCGTTTAGCAGAAGAATGCCAAGGCTGAGAAATCCTACCCAAGGGCCAGGCGCAAACCCAAGAATTGCTCAATGAAGACACCACATTTTACTTCCTTTCAAAGTAACAAAAGGACAGGATGATTAAGATCAGCGTGAAAGACAGGAAAATGTGGACACTTGCACGTTGGCCGGACCTCCGGTTTCGGCCTAAGGCTCCTTTTGTTTTGCCGTCCTAACCAGCTCTGTGATTTTGTGAGGCTGCAGACCTGGGACTTGACGGGGCTTTAGTGGTTAGACCAACCTTGTATTCCTGAGAATTAATCAGCCTTGCTTGGTCATGCGTTACTATCCTTTCTATCTCATCGAATTCTTTATTGACTCTGAATAAGGAGTAAGTTAGGGTTCTCTAGAGAAAGAAACCAGAATGCTGATAATTTTATGTATATTTATACAGATAGCGAGATAGATAACATAAGAAATAAACGGTTGATTAAATCATAAAGCAGTACAAATGACTCAGTGCAACTCACTCCCGTGAGACAGTCGTGAAACACTGGCAGTCCTTCAAGTCAGGCTATCCGGGCACAGGCAGCAAACAGCAAGGCAGGTCACCAATAGTCAGCCAGAAGACAGGGCCCGACAGTCCCCAGCTCAAGAGATGTAAATTCCAGTGGTTGGTTGGGGGGGGCCGGGGCCTGAAGGCAGGAGAGGGACGCCTCTGAGGAGCCCCTGACTGTCCAGCTCAGCCCTGAACCATGGTCCATACTGGCTCTCACTCACGCAGCAGGAACCCGCCATCTTTCCTGGCAATGCAAACGGTCCCTACCTGGCAGCAGTTTCCTTTCCCCATCCTTCCTTCCTTCCTCCCTCTGGCCTAACTTCCGGGCGGAGGGGTGGGGGGGGTTCTCATTTCGAGCAGAATGTTTGAAAGGAACAAAGGCCCCAGGGAAGTTCATGAGGATCCGTTTTCTTGCCCACTCCCCGAGTCACTTCCTAGCTAAGTGACAGAAATCGCACCTTGAATGGCAGGTTCTTCTCTTCCTTCTGGCCTTCAGACATGGAGTTTCCCGGCTTGTGAAGATAAACAGGCAGGAGGCCAAACGAGGCTCCCCAGCGGGCACGTTTCCTCCTGCCCTCAACTTGACCCCTTGTCCTTTCAGGTTGTGTCCACACTGCTGATAAACATAATTCCCAAAGACTACACCCCACTGAATTTGGCGGGAAAGGCGAAGATTGGCGGGAAAGCCTGGGTAAAGGAATCTCCTCGGCCGGTTCCGGGATTCAACCCCGACTCTATGTGCGAGTCCCAGGTATGGCTGCCCAGTCTCAGCGTGCCACCTTTGGATAAACCGACGCCAAACGGGCAGGCGTGCTCAGAGCGCGGCCCCCCGAGTAACGAGACGGTCAAACTGCTTGAGCTCCCGGCTCTCCCCCTGCTCCTGGCCATGGGAGCAAAGCCTCAGGCAGGCGGGCCTGCAGGGGCAGTGAGTCCCAAGCACTGTGCTGAGGCAGGAGCGAGGTTGCCCCTCAGGAAGACCCCCCCAGGACCCTGGCTGTTCCTGGTGGGAGACGAGGCATTCGTTCACAACATGCTCCTCGCCAGAGGCCAAATGGGCAGTCCATTTAGACCTGGAGCCTCTTGTTTCCTTTCTCTTTCTAGAGTTCACGCTCAGTGCATATTGCGGTGTACAGATGGAAGGTTCCATTATTCCTAATCCTCGGGTGTGGTGGGCGGACGGCCTAGGCCAAGGACGCGGGGATGGAGTGTAGACCCTAGACCAGTGGTTCCCAAACTGGGTGCTACCAACCCCTGGAGGAGGGGCTTGGGAATGAGCCGTGAGGCTGAGAAAGCAGGTCCCTTTTCATCTTTTGCCCAGCGAGGATTTGAGGTGGTAGGGAGGGGGCACCCGTAGCAAGGTTCCTGAGGCCCCAGGGGAAGAGGGAGGCCTGCTCCTTGGTAGACATCCAAGCCCTCCAGCCCCCCTCGGGGGTCCCTCCCTTTGCAGGTGATCATCAGGGGCGGGGAGCTGCTCTGCGGGGTTCTGGACAAGGCACACTACGGGAGCTCGGCCTATGGCTTGGTGCACTGCTGCTACGAGATCTACGGGGGCGAGACCAGCGGCAAGGTCCTCACCTGCCTGGCCCGCCTCTTCACTGCCTACCTGCAGCTCTACCGAGGCTTCACCTTGGGTGAGTGCCCATCAGAGGCCCGGGCCTTCCTCGGGCAGTGGCCTGCCCGCCCTCCTTTGGCCAGGCCAGCTGTCAGTGTTCTCTCCGGCTGTCCCAGCCACCTATCGGAGTGACCGCCTGAGCCTGCCTCCACTCAGGGCTTGCCACTCTGGTGCATTCCCATTCTCTTCCTTTTTGACCCCACATCTGTAGGGTTCTGTTCCCAAGACAGAATCCCTCTGAGCATCCACACCCTCTACCTCTCACCTGCACACACCCTTCTGGCATCTCCTGGGCCCGTCCTCCCTCAGAGAGTCTCCTATTCTCCCAGCTCCCTGTGCCTTCTCGGAGCACCAGGGACACCAGTGCCTTTGGCCGCACTGCACTGGGACAGACCTGGTGGGCTGACGAGAGAGAGGAAGGGTCTGTAGCTTGTTCACCCCCGGAAATGGGCGCAAACTGTTTTTGTTTTGTTTTGGGCTTTTCAAAGGAAATAGATGTGTGCCGGTGGAGTTGAGCTTGGGGACCGGCCTTGGCCCCTGGCTGAGCTCATTTCGGACTTGCGAGTGTGTGTATTAGTCCAGGTTGACTAGAGAAACAAATCCAGAGACACTCACCTATATGTAAGAGAGAACGTTATATCAGGAAGTAATCATGCATCAATAAAACAGCCCCGTCCAGATCAAGCGCATAAGTTCAATATTAGCCCTTCAGTCCAGTATTAGCCCATGAGTTCCTCTTCAGACTCACACAGCGTATGCAATGATGCCAAATGCAGGAAGATCACAGAAGAAGGGTGGGTGGAAAGTTCTGTGGGTCCAATGGCAGTGGACGCATCTCCAGGGCTCTGGCTGCCATCAGTGTGGCTCCGAGTGGCTTGTCCACAGGAGGGTGTAGCAGAGAGAAAGTGTGTCCTGCCTCCTGGGAGGAAGAGAGGAAAACCCCAGAATTCTCATGGGAAGGCCATGCCCACAAGGAGGCTTCAATCAGGCTGTGACGTGATTGACAGGCTAGACTCCACCCCCATAATGTATGACATTGACATGAAATTATGTAACTACCACAGTGCGAGTACTTTTGCAGGTCCTTATGAGGATAAAAGAGCCCTGGTGGTGTGGGCTGCTAGCTGCAAGGTCAGCAGTTCAAAACTACCAGCTGTTCTGTAGGAGAAAGATGGGGCTTTCTACTCTTGTAAAGAGTTAGTCTCAAAAACTCACAGGGTCAGGTCTACCCTGTCCTTACAGGGTTGCCATGAGTCTGAATCGACTGGATGGCAGTGAGTTTTTGGTTGGGTCATTAGACAGTTAGGTTGTTTCCAAGTTTCCATCATTACTGACTATTAGTGGGGTCCATAGCTTTGGCTTGAAGTTTTCAGTTCTTTCACAGAGACAAGGAGGACAAAGTATTCATCTGTCTGGGGGCAGAACCCAGTCTTTCTTTACCCTGATTCCTGTCACTGGCCTGGACTGCTAACAGAGGCCTCTGAATCCAAGATCTCCCGCCTCCAGTTGAAAATTGGACTAGCAGGGCTCTCAGAGTGGGATGTGTGAGTATGGTGATTACAATAGTCACACTCATGAAGCATAAAATCGTTTTGAAAGGCCATCAAGAATACACACAAGCCTTTCTTGTGGCTAGGAAACGTTCCCAGAGCTTTACAGACGAAACACAGAGGCACCTCCCTCTTCCTGTCCTTGCAAGAAGAGGCTTAAAACAGGCCCGGTTGGCAGCTGGGCTCAGCATATGGTACAAGGAGAGGTGGCCACCTGAGTATGAACTCCAGGTGCCAGGAGGCGGGGCTAAGGCAAGGCTGGGTAGGGTTGATTCCCAGGGAGGGGCTGGCCAACCAGATGTGTTCACTTCACTCTGGCCTGTTGATCCTCAGAGGGTCCATCGGGATGAGTGCGGTGGCCTGTCGCTGACCCCACGGAAGGCCCTTGTTGGTGGCTCGGACTTCCTCACGAAGGATGTTTGTTCAGGACATGCATTGCTTTGAGCATGTCTGGCATTTCAGCCCCAGCTTCCAATCACTGCAGCCATTCATTTTTCCTGCTCAGATCTTGGTTCAGGACCTTTAGAGCCCCACAGTGCTAGAAGACCAAGGTAGAAAACGGTGGATTGAAAGTTGAAGTAGAAAGATGTACTGCTTAAATTGAGGGGTTCCCCAATCCTTTGGGTCCAGAGGTCAGACTTCGGGGATGGAGGTGTCTATCCTCCCGTGGTGACGCAGAGGAACCTCCTGTGGTGACTTCCGGGAGCCAGAGCCCCAGGATGGACTCATAGGCGTGCGCACTGACTCACTCACACTTCTGTGTAGCCATGAAGCCCGAGCTTTTCAAGCCTTGGTTTCATCATTCGTAAAAGGGAGCCCGAATGGTCGGCACCTGGCCAAAGCATCCGAGGTGGGGGCGCTCTGACTAATGCCCATGTCAGCAGTGGTGTCCAGGTGCTTCCACGTACGGATGTGGCCCTGGCCTCCCTGGACTTGCTGTCTGTGAGGTGTCAGGCCCGGGCCAGCTCAGCTGTGTTTCATTCGCTTCACAGACGTCGAAGACATTTTGGTTAAGCCCAAGGCTGACGTCAAGAGACATAGTATCATTGAAGAGTCTACCCACTGTGGGTCCCGGGTAAGGACGGTGGGCGGTAGGCGTTAAGGAGAGGCAGGGTGTGCTGGGCCCACTCTGCTGCCGAGGGGCTGTGATTGGAATCCACCCTGTTCCCTTTCTCCCTCTAGGCCGTGCGGGCTGCGTTAAACCTGCCAGATGCTGCATCGTGTGAGGACATCCGAGGGAAGTGGCAGGATGCTCATCTGGGCAAGGACCAGCGGGATTTTAACATGGTTGATCTGAAGTTCAAGGAGGAAGTGAACCATTACAGCAACGAGATTAACAAGGTCTGTCCAGCGGTGCCCAGGTTCACTACCACTCTGTGGAAGTCAGGTTTTAAAGAACACAGCTACTTCTTGCTTCTGACCCTTTGGAGCAACCTGAATGGCCATTGGCCAGCCGCCCGGGCGACCAGTGGGAGCTGGGGAGGTGGGATGGGCAGAACCCTTCATTTTGAGGTGAAGGGTGCAGGCCTTTGTGCCCACACCCTTTCCGGGTCTGGGAAGGTACCGAGGGAGTACCTTCGCTCTGCTCCTGGTTGATTTGGAGCGGCAGCGTGAAAGAGACTGACGAGAGACAGCCATTCCCCTATGGGGTCACTGCGAGTCTTAACCGGCTCGATGGTAGAGACTTTGATGTAGGCTGTTGCTGGGGTGGGTAGGACCACTGCTCTTTGTAACAGCAGAGTACAAGGCTGTGGGCCAGTGTCCCCGGGTTCAAATCCTTGCTCTGCCCCCTCCTTGATATATGGCCCCAGGCAAGCGGTTTTAACTGGTCAGGGCCTCGGTTTCCTCGCCCAGAAACGGGGCTGTGAGTGGCACGACGTCATGGGGCAGCTGAGGTGACCGACAAACAGCCTGTGCACTGCCAGGAAGAACTGTTCCACTGGGCTTCCTGGACTGTGACCCTGCAGAAGCCGGCTGCAGACTCTTCTTCCTGGCGCCTCTGGCTGGGTTGGTAGCCGCCCAGGGTCTGAGGACCCAGGATGCTCTCGGCTCAGAGCGGGTACTGTGGCAGTCCTCCCACAGCCACCTGCTTGGCCTCACGTGAGCCCCTGTGCGAGTTTAGAGGGAGAGAATCCTGCACAATCCAAGACACGGCCTGGCTCTCTGCCCTCCTGTCCCGGAGCCGCGGCTCCCAGCCCAACGGCCTGCTCCCAGCCTATGCCTCCTAGGCCCGGAGGGAGGCCCAGCCTTAGGAAGAGAGGAAGAGGCAGGGGCAACTCTTCACAAGTGTCAGTCTGTCCCTTGACTGCCTGTCTGCATCCTTGGGGCTCCAGGAAGACCAGCCTCGGCACAGTTCATTCCTTGAGAGAGCTTGTTCAGAGGCGCCTTCCCGACACCTGCTCTCTCTGGGAGGCTCAGCTTCTAGGACAGTGGTTCCCTTAGATTCCCAATGCCGTGACCCTTTAATACAGTTCTTCACATTGTGGTGACCTCCCCCAACCATATTGCTGCTTTTTCACTGTTGTTTTGCTACTGCAATAAAGGGTCTTTGGACCCACAAGGGGTTGTGACCCACAGATTGAGATCTGCTGTTCTAGGATAACAGGAATGCTAGCGAGTGACCAGTGTGTCTTCAGAAGACCCCTGGACTTGGCAGCCCCCTTTTCTGACCCCGGGTTCTTCTTTCTTCTTAACGGACTGAGTTTCTCCAACTCAGACAGACCTCTCAACGCCCTCCACCCCCACCCCCAATCCTGGTGTTTCCCTGGGGCCACCTGAGGGCTTTGCTGTCTCCTCTGGCCCTGAAGTGGGCTTCCTATTGGTGCCCAGGTTGCGTGCTGGTAAATGCAAACCCGCCTTGGACATTGGGGGCTATCACACGGTGTGCGGGAGTCCAGGCCTTGATCTGCTGGGCAGATTTGCGAGAGTAGTGCCCTCATTGGTCAGCAGCTCCTTTTTGGAGTTACCGACTCACTGTACTGGCCCCTGGGCTGCTTCTCTCCCTCCTCCCTTTTGCTTCCCTTTGGCCAGGGAGCAAGCCCCAGGCTCCTGGTCATTGAACGGCTCGCTGGTTCCGGGGGAAGGACTGGTCCAGAAGGAGACCCCTCACCATGGCTGGGATTTGGAGCTCATCTTTGGACAGTCAGGGTCTCACCTCCGGACCCTGCATTTGCCTTCTGAACCTGGGGTTCCCCGAGGACATGATAAAGTCACTGACCCGGTGTACCTTCCGTCCACAGGCATGCATGCCATTTGGCCTACACAGGCAGTTCCCTGAGAACAACCTGCAGTTGATGGTGCAGTCTGGAGCCAAGGGATCCACGGTGAACACAATGCAGGTGTGAGCAGAGGTGGGCTGCCGGGCGGCGGGGATCCAAGAGGCCGCTCTCCAATTTATCTGTCTCCCAAGTGTGAAAGACTTATCAGATGTGGCAAGTACTGAGGAATAAAACATATCTACCAATCACTGCAGGAGCCAGTGCTGTTAACATGTTCACATTGTGGACAAGATGTAGATGTAGGCAGAACTGTAAAATACACTAGTAGTTATACGGTAAAACCTGTCTGAGGCGGAGACCTGTCAGAAAAGGAAAACTCACGTTTTCTCCAGGAAACCAAGCTGCAGAAAAGTAGGGAGACTGCCGCCCCCCCCCCCGCCCCCCAGTCAAAGGGGGGACACTTTCGAGCGCTGACTTTACAGAAAACGAGGCAGGCCTGTCAGGTTTCAGTTCTCAGTCTCGCTGGGATATCGATAGCGGTATTAGAGATTTGCATGCGGTGTTACATATATGACAATGATGATGATGTGTGTTCGTGCTGTAGATCCTGTGTAGCTCCCACTATCTGCTGTCCCACCTCTGATGTCACGCACTGTCTGAGCGCTCTCTTAGCCCTTCATCCGGGCTCGTGCTCTCCTCGCATCAGGATGCTCTGTACTAGCATTGGCACAGAGCCCAGCCATGGGGAGTCTTCTGGCTGCTTTTTTATCGTGATGAGTTTGAGCAAGTTCTGAGGACCACCCTGCGATGGGTTTGAAAGGGCATCAGGAGACCCACTCCAACCTCCAGTACCACCACCCTCTCCCAACTAAAGTGACTTCCAGGCACGCTGCTCTCCCCCCCACCCCCCACCAACAATATTAATAAGGCAGTTCTCTAAACAAGTAGCTAAAAGGCTTCTTGAGTTCTCTTTCTGCTGTAGAAGTTAAGGATTGCCATAAATACCTTTTCTCCACGGACCTCAGTTTCTCTGTTTGAATTCGCAAGATTTCCCAGGCATGACTTCTTTTACAAATGTCACCCAGGTACAGCTGACTCCAAAGGTGAAAACCAGGACTTTTCCACCAAAGGAAAATTGTGCTTCCTTACTTAAAGCCAGCTTGCCTGTTGCATTTGGAAAGCGAGGTTGGCCTTCAGGAATTAGGTTCCCACACAGCTTCTCAGGAAGAGCAGGTGCTCCCCGCCCCTTCTAGAACAAAGTGTGTTATTGTCTAGTGTGGATCTTGAGTTTCTGCCCCTTCTCCCCAACAGATCTCCTGCCTACTCGGCCAGATCGAATTGGAAGGCCGGAGGCCCCCGCTGATGGCGTCTGGGAAGTCACTGCCCTGCTTCGAGCCATATGAATTCACTCCCAGGGCTGGTGGCTTTGTCACCGGCAGGTTCCTCACCGGCATCCGGCCTCCTGTATGTATTGTGCCTCTCCCTGTGGGTTTTTCTTCTCGTTTCTACATTCAGCGGTCTGTGACCTGTGACTCCCACCAACAGCTAAGCTAGAGTGATCAAGTAATATGCTACTTATCACTTCACCCATTAGGCATTAGTGCCCAGGAGGTGGTGACCGGGCATGTTCAGTAAAGCCTAGCTCAGTGCAGGGCACACAGTAGGTGTGCAGTAAAAGTTAGCATCATTTCCTGGTCGTCGTTCCCACCCCCACCCCCACCCCACCCCCCACACACTACCACCATCCTGAACCAGTTCCCTTACCTGCATCTGAAGGCAGTTGGAGGAGTGCCACTCGCCTGCCTGGATGCTCTTCAGAGATCGATAATCACAGAACTCCCAAGGGTGCCTCCCCACTCCCCACCCAGCTTCTCCCTCCCATTGGGAACATTGACGGACAATTGTGAGTTCTGGGTTTTGCTTGGAGGACCACAGACTGCTCTGGGGACTCCCCAGTCCCACATGGAGCTCTCCAGGATCATCCAGGGCATCTGGCCAGACACAACAGAGTCAGGATCGCCAAAAAGGTTCAGAGTGGTTGCAACTGGGTTTTGTGTTGTTGAGAATCCACAGCCAAACATGCACCAATCCATCATGTACCTGTTGGATTTCCATGGGCCACTTCCTAAGCGACTACCTTGATGACATCCTGAATTGGACAGTTCTCACCCTCCCTTTCTGAGCTGCTCCTCCCATGGCCTCTGAGGTTCCTGTCTAATCTTCCAAATTGCTGCTGCTAATTGGATCCCTGTTCCTGAACGTCCTTTAAAGAGCATTATGTTCGCAGGCGGACGTCCTTGACTCGTTAAGCTGAAATGGTTTTAAAGAGATTTCAGTGGATACTTGTGGTATAAGATTTAAAGATCATTTGAGGGGTTTATCAAGCCTTTGTGACTGAGAACTTGAAGTTATGTTCTACATTTCCCCCTTCTGATTAGGATTCTTCTGTAGAATCTGTCATCAGAATGTTCAGTAGTGTCAGCTGGGTACCATTCAAGCCTTCTGATCTGACAGCAGAGGAGGAGTTTGAGTTCTATGTCTGTGACGATGGATGCACATATATGAGGGGGCTTCAAAAAATTTGGGGACCAATTTAATTAAAAGGTGGTGGAATTTTCCTGCCAGCTTTTTGAAGCCCCTTCATGTTTTTGTGCAAGTGTGCATGCATATGCCCAATCCTGTAGTCAATGCATTTCTTGCTGTGCGTTGGCCTCAGAAAGTTAGTTCACTGTTGGGAGCAGAATTCAGACAGGAGGCTTGAAGGAAGCAGTAATGAGCCACGGTACCTTTAAAGCTGGGAATGGAGTTGGGGGTGTCTAGAGATCATGTGGCTGAGAGGATGGAATGCAGAAATATAGGTAGAGAGTCCTGCTCCCTGTAAGCAGAACCACATGACCCTTCACACGGTTAACGTCAGGCTGGCATCACTGTTAGGGCGGGCAGGAGGTGAGGGGGCATTGGAGATGAGGTCTGAATGGGTGGCCTCGTTTGGTCAGGAATGGCAGCTACTGAAGGTTCTGGCCCCTGAGCCAGCACCCTACTTGAAGCCCACGCTCCTCACCTCTGCCCTGCCCCCCCGGGGGACATGCTCTCTGCTTCCCCACAGGAGTTCTTCTTCCACTGCATGGCGGGGCGGGAAGGCCTGGTGGACACTGCCGTGAAAACCAGCCGCTCTGGCTACCTCCAGAGGTAAGGCCTGTTCTGCCTCTCGCAGCTCTGATGGCTCGAGTGAGAGCCCTGGGCTTGGAGAGCACTGGAAGTTTGCCTGTGGGTGGCTGGGACACGGAAAACAGTAGAGATTCTTTCCTCCTTGAGCCCCGGAGGTTTTAGACAAGCGTCCCCGCATTTAGAGTGCCCCATTCCTTGGCGTGGGGAGTCGTGGGTACGGGGAGAGAGGGTACGGGCAGGGATGCACGGCCATCGTCCACTCTGGAGGGCTCCGGCCAGCAGGATCGTAGCAAAGGAGGTCCACGGTGTCTCCTCGGGAGTCAACAGTTGGCGGGGCTCAGACGTTTATATAGCCTTTCAGGTAGCAGCTGAGTGTTTAACCCGAGTCACAGACTGATGGGAGTACAGTCAGAGGTGCCTGCCTGCCCGCCCAAGGAGAGGGAGGGGAGGGCGGACGCAGAGAAGGCACGGGCAGCTGGCTGAGAGACAGACACAGAAGCGTGTTTGTAGGCATGAGTGGGCAGCAGCACAGTGGCACTGTTGGCAGAAAGAAGACAGTCCCCAGGGCCTAGGGGATGTGGGTGGGATTGAGGAGGCAGCGTGGCGCTTAGAGGCAGGGCAGCGCAGGAGAGGATGCTTCCAGGGCCAAGACGAGCCCTATGAGCAGACGGCTAAACCGACAGTGCTGAAAGCAAGCACTGGGCCCCAGGAAGGTCAGTGGTGACCAGCATCAGGGCTCAAGGGTGTTCGCTCCCTCTGAGGTGGCAGGAGGAGAAACAGGCTGGGTGGTAGGGGTGAGGGAAGCAGCTGGCAGGACTCGGGGAAAGGTTCGTTCCTAATAGTCCTGTAGTGTCCTCAAATTCTACACTAGTGCTTCCCCATCTGGCCCCTTGGCTTCACTGATCCGGGGGCTGCAAAAGCAGAACCCCACACTTCATCCCGAATGACTGGTCCCGGTTTAAAGTGTGAGTTTGCCCAGCGCAGAGCACTGGGCACCTTTGGCTTTCTGAAAAGGAAGTGTCGGGGCCTATGTTTAACGCGACGAGGTTTGAGAATTCCAGGTTGGCCGGCAACCTGCCTTTGCCTGCCCGTGGATCTGAGGGTACTGGGCTCAGTCAGACTGGCAGCTGGTCTTCTCAGCCAGATGGCGGTGGCCTCCTCTATCCAGGAAAGTCCTCTGCAAGTACAGCCAGGGCTGGGCGGTGCTGTGGAGCAGCAGGTGCCCCTGGCCACCGCCCATGCCTAGGAGGCGGTCAGCCTGATAGGCTCTGAACTGCATGGCCGGTCCCCGACAGGTGCATCATCAAGCACCTGGAAGGCCTGGTGGTCCAGTATGACCTGACGGTCCGCGACAGTGACGGCAGCGTGGTGCAGTTCCTCTACGGGGAGGACGGCCTGGACATCCCCCGGACACAGTTCTTGCAACCCAAGCAGTTCCCCTTCCTCGCCAGCAACCACGAGGTAGTGTGCCTGTGGGGAGCCCAGGCAGCCTGGTCTTTGTGGCCTCCAAAACTGGAGAGGGAAGAGTGGATAATGTGCCTTTCTGAGACACACACCCCTACCCCCACTCCCCGGCATGTCGGTACCCTGTTCCATCTGCACAGAGCCCCAGGGGCTGGGCCATCGTTTGCTCCTCTGGTGTCCTTTCTCAGCGGGACACCCCCATAGCCACCATCTGGGGGTCTTTCCCCTCTGCTGGGCCTCGTCCTTACCGCAGCCCTGGGAAGAGCACCCCTGTGGCCGGTTTACAGTTGAGGCCACTGAGACGGCACTCTGTAACCAACTGCCTGGCAGGTGGCAAAGCTAGCCTTTTAACCTGGGCCCCTGACACTCAGGTGACTCTCATGAGGGCCTCAGTGAGGGCCCCGCCGGTGGCTGAGTAGACTCCCATCTTGCAGCTGGGGAAACCGGCCGACGTGACCTGTCCGCAGTCACCCACTCACTGGGCACATGGAGGGTCGGGTTTCAGCCCCGCTCCTTCTCTGCTGGTGCTGTTCCCGGGCTTGGCCCTCTTTCTGCCCAGAAGCTCCCTGGAAGGGCTCAGGGTGACCGTCCGTCAGCCCCGTGGGCAGCACAGGCCCCCAGTCTGGCTCACACAGAGTGAGGACCTAATTTACAAGGCCTGCCGACTGAGAGGGCTCCCCTCGGACCTTCTGGGGCCGTGACTTGCACCACGTGGCCCGATTCTCACGTTTTCTTGTGTGTGTGTGTGTGTGTGTTGCTTAGGTGATAATGAAATCAAAACACCTCCACGAGGTCTTATCCAGAGCAGCTCCCAAGAAAGCACTGCGCCACTTCAGGGCCATCAAAAAGTGGCAGCAGAAGCACCCCGACACCCTGCTGAGAAAGAGCGCCTTCCTGAGCTTCTCGCAGAGCGCGCAGGCCGCCGAGAGGGCCCTGAACCTGGGAGGTGGGAACAAGAACGGCCGCAGCCCTGCCACCCACGAGGTGAGACGACTTGGGGCTGTACCCTGGTGCCCGTGTTCCTGACAGAGGGCGTCCTCGTGAAGGCTGGGCTCCCTTGCCATCAGTCAGGGTCCCTCAAGGAAGGGACTCTCCAACAGTGTGGGCTGTGGGTAAAGGCCACTGGCGACAGCGTCACTCAAAGACCCAGTAGGGAGCTTGCACGACCCCCCCCCCCCCCCCCCCCCCCCCAGCCCTAGGCCTTGCCCTCTCTTGCTGGTCTCCCATTGGCCCAGCACCAGGGGTGCTTGCAGCCGGCGATGGGGGGAGCCGTGTGAAAGTATGTGGATTTGAGCTACATGGCATGTTATGATTGCCTAGGACAGTCAGGTTGGCCCTGTCCTGAGAAGTCCCACTGTGGACAGGAAAGGGCATGGTCACATGCCGGCAGGAAGTGCTCACAGCCTGCGACAACCAGCTCCCGGGGTAGATTCAGTCCTTCCCTTTCAGAGCCACGTGGCCTTCTCCTGGGGATTGGGTTCTGTCTCACCTGGACCCCGCTGAGCCCACCTGCCCTTGCAGGTGCTGAGGCTGTGGTCCGAGTTGGACGAGCAGAGCCGGAGGAAGTACCAGAAGAAGGCAGCCCCCTGTCCTGACCCCAGTCTGTCCGTGTGGCGCCCGGACATCTACTTTGCGTCGGTGTCAGAGACGTTCGAACAGAAGATTGACAACTACAGTCGAGAGTGGGCCTCTCTCGCAGGGAAGAGTGGTGAGAGATCGGAGCTTTCTCTCGACAGGTAGGATGGCATCCGCTGGCCAGCACCACATGGGGCGGGGGTCTGCCTTTCAGACCCTCGACCCTCTTCCTCCCGGCTGCTCCTTGGCCTCTGGAGGGACTGAGATAACCAAGAGCACCTGGCGGTCCCTTAGGACTCAGGGACTGGCAGGCGCGGCGGCTCTCACCTGGCCCCGAGGGCTGTGTGGGGGCCAGAGTCTAGCAGAAACCGCCCTCTAGAGTTGCGGGTGGAGCGGTTACCTGTTGGACTGCTGACTGCCCGGCCAGCCAATCCTCAGGAGAAAGACACACGCTTTCTGCCCCTCACGTAGACTCAGCCTCGGGCACCCACGGGCAGCCCCGCCGGGTCCTGCACCTTGCAGTGAGTCGGCCTACGGCAGTGCTTCAGAGTTGAGGGTGTTGGCCTCCCTCTGCCACTGTGGTGGGGAGCCGGGGAGAGCTTCCACCCGCCGGGATTCCATGTCCTCGGCCTTTCATGCGGGGCTGAGTCTGAGGGGGAAGGGACAGGTGGGGACCTCGACTCGGACGCATTACCTAGTAACCTGGTTAGCACAGGCACAGACCCCAGGGAAGGGTCGCAGTGAGTGAGCGGGAAGAATGAACGGGAGGGAATGGTGAGCCCAGAAGTGTTCATGGCCCAGGGACCTGGTGGCTGCCTGGCTTTAGGGTGGGCTCGGAAATTCAGCCTGCCTGCTGGGATCTGCTGGGGAGCACCCAGGCCACTGGCAGGGTATGGAGATTGGAAGGGAGGACGTTGGCAAGCTGGGGGCTTTAGGGTGGGTTCGGGAATTCAGCCTGCCTGCTGGGGAGCACCCAGGCCACTGGCAGGGGATGGAGATTGGAAGGGGGGACGTTGGCAAGCTGGGGGAACACAGTCAGACCACCTCTCAACCTGTGTCGTCGGTGGCCCTGACCGTGGCTTCCCTGCCCCACCTGCCTCCAGGCTGAGGACCCTGCTGCAGTTGAAGTGGCAGCGCTCCCTGTGTGACCCAGGGGAGGCTGTGGGCTTGCTGGCCGCCCAGAGCATCGGGGAGCCCTCCACTCAGATGACCCTGAACACCTTCCACTTCGCTGGCAGAGGCGAGATGAACGTCACGCTGGGTATCCCAAGGTGCGTGTCCCCACAGGGCGGGCGGGGCGGGTGCTGCCCCTGCCTCTTCCTGGGAAAAAGGGAGCTCCGTGCTAAGGGAGAGACGGGTGCTCGTCCAGGTGGAGGATCAGGGTGAGGATCTGGAAACTGATGCATCTCTGGGTCTGTGCTCAGGTCTCGGTGCCTCTAATTACCCTCCCGAGCCCCCCTGTCACAGCCACTTGGTGCTTGTGACCTATGCGTTTCCAGGCCTCCCTGCAGGCTCTGGGAGAAGGCTCAGGGTGTCGTGAACCAGCACTGTACAGACCACCTGGGAGCCCGGCTCCCGGGCACCGTTCACACAGACTGGCGTGGCTGCAGCTCCGGCCTTGCAGGTGGATTCAGTGTGATAGGCACTCAGCAAGAGGGCAGGGTGGGGTTGGAGTGACACTGTCCTTCCTGGAGGGAGCTCCTGCCTGCTGCAGTACAGGAAGCCAACTACAGGATTGCTCACCGTCATGGGGAACCCATCCCGCCAGCCTGCCAGGCCCCACACCCTCGCTTGGAGCCCGGAAGCATGCTGACCTCTTGAGAACGGCTCCCCACACGGGGGTCTGATGACTGCCTACGCCCCTTGCTCTGTGACAGGCTGAGAGAGATCCTCATGGTGGCCAGCGCCAACATCAAGACGCCCATGATGAGGGTGCCTGTGCTCAACACCAAGCGAGCCCTGAAGAGGGTGAAGAGCCTGAAGAAGCAGCTGACCAGGGTGTGCTTAGGGGAGGTAACTGCTCTCCGCTGCCCAGTGCCCAGGCTGCTGCCCGGCAGGCCACTCCTTTCTTCCTTAGAGCAGGACTGCTGGCTGTCCTAACCCGGCGCCGCCTTGCCACTAGTGATGGACCTGCTCTCTATGCCAGGTGCTGAGCCGGGTGGATCAAGGAGCTTTTAAAATAATCACTAGTTCAACAGTAGCCTCAGGGGCCTTCCACCTGACAGTGTTTCCGGGGTGAGCTCACCAGCTGGGCTGAGAGCCTTTCCAGAGACCCCAGCTGCAGCCTTGGGAGGCTGCCTGAGGGGGGCTCCACACTGGCAGACCCTGCTGGTGTTTCTCTGGGGCCCTGGCTGCTCTCTCCGGGCCCCCTCGGCTTCTCCACTTAGCAGCCAGCAGTCCCTGGAGAAGGGCCCAGCCAGGTCTTCCTGTGCGTCTGGTTCTAGGTGCTGCAGAAGATTGACGTGCAGGAGTGCTTCCGTATGCACACCAGGCAGGAGAAGAGCCGCGTTTACCAGCTGCGCTTTCAGTTCCTGCCACGGGCCTGCTACCAGCAGGAGAAGTGCCTGAGGCCCACAGACATCCTGCACTTCATGGAGACCAGGTTGGCTTGGGGCTGTGCTTCCCCTTGGCCAGGGCTCAGAGAGCACTCCTGACACTAGACTCCCCGAGACAGGGTGCCACCTGCCTGGCCTGAGCCCACCCAGGGAAATAGCGGGCCTGCCGCCCGAGTCCTGGCCCCGATCCGCAGGGGTGCCTGCGCTAACCCCGTCTTCCTCGTCAGTCAGTGATTCAGCCGTGCAAGGCTTGGGAAGTGTGTGTGAAGAGAACAGGCGCACGCTGGCAGGTGAGCCTAGAGTCCTAGACATTCCTGTTGGGTGGGCTGTCCATCCAGGCCGCCCCACATGGTTGCTGTGGACCGTGAAGGATGAACAGTGGAGTGTGGCTTGCTGCTCTTAGAGCCAGGTGCCTGGCTGGGTTTACCTGCAGCTTTGGTCAACCTCGTTCTGGTCCCTCCCTGCTCAGAGGGACACACGAATGCACAGGAGCTGAGGGCTAGCCCTGTGGGCCCGGGGCCGGCAGGCACGAGGGCCGGGCGCTTCAGAAGTATGCCCCCTTTCCCTCTGTGTGGTTGGTCGCTCTTGCTTTTGTAAATAAGATGTCTCCTAGTCTTTAAACATGAGTAACTAATTCGTGTTTTTAAAAGCCTGGTAAGGCCCAAATTGATTCCATCTGTTGGCAAGTCTCAGCGCACTAATGTAGAACAGCCTCAGGCTTTCCCCAGTGCTGCTGGGGCACTGAGAACTTGACCGAGCAGAAGCAGAGGCACTTGGTAGTCACCCACCCCACCTTGTGTCTGAGAGCTACCCACTAATGGCTGGGTCACTAGGGCAGGGGGTACATGAGTCTGTGCCCCATCTCCCCTGACCCAGCCCTCTGCAGAGGGCTGCTGTGGGGGCTCCCTGACTAGGCAGATCCTGCCCTGGGACAGGACACCTGGGGGGTGTCCACCTGCACTGAGGAAATGTGTGACCGGTCAGGCCTGGCTGCTCTCCTGTAGACTGGGCACAGGGGAGCGGTGTGCACGTGCCCGCCTACCCGGGACGGTTCTAATTAACCAGGCCTCATGCAGACAGGCCTTCCATGAGAAATGGAATCAGGAGCTCACGGCCTCCTGGCAGTGGTCAAGAGCAGGTGAGCTGGGTGTCGCCCTTTTCTGAGTCCTGCTGAGGGGCCCGGGCAGCGTGGGGGGAGCACCGGGCTGTGTTCCAAGCTCTTTCTCTGGACGTTACCAGGGGGCACTGCTGAGTGAAGCACCATTTTTACACTTCTTCCTGGTCAGCTCCCGGCCGCATTTTGCGTGTGTGCTTGGAAAGCTGTGATCCGCAAGCCTGGTGCTTTGGTGCAGCTGTGGCTCTTGTGATGCATCAGAATGGACATAGGCCTGAGCATGGATCGCGATGCAGTGTGGACTCCCTTTGTCAGTCCCGGGCAGTCAGGGAGTCTTTTCAGAACCCCAGGGCAGAGACTCCAGGAGGTTCCCTCTCCCCCATCCTCTCCCTCCCTCCTAACTGAGCAGAGAGACGCATCCCCAGGTGGAGTTCTGTAAGCATAGGAGGTTCCCTGCGTGTCTAAACTGGCACCGTCACTTCAATGTTGGTGCCGATCCTCTGGAAGGTGGACGGGGCTGGGAAGTGGAAAGAGCCAGGTGCGGAGTCAGGGGTGGGTCTGGCCTTGGCCCCCAGCCATGAAACAATGAGGCTGGCAGCCTCTGCCCACCCAGCTTTGCAGACCGCAGTCTGGGGCGTTGTTTGCAGGCCTGCAGGATACAGCCGAGGCTCACATTGCCTGGCTGTGATAGGCTGGGTGGGGGCCCGACAGGCCGTCCATGTGTTCCCTTCCAATGGCCACATTCTGGCAAGTGGCCGCACCACTCTGGGCCTGCTGCCACCTTGCCACTGGCCGAATCCCAGACCTAAAAATTGTCGGCACCCTAGTCACAGGCACACCACGTAGCCATCAGGTGCTGTCTGATCTGCCACCTCCCATGAGTGCTGCTCACCAGGAGCGTCGGGCATGGCACGGCAGAAACGCGTGCCAACCAATGTGTGAAGGGCAGGCTTCTTGGAGAGCAGTCTGCACTTGGGCCACCCAGCAGGTCGATGCCGAGCTGGCGAGGGTGCAGGGTGAATGTCTGAGGCACGGGCCACAGAGGAGGAGGGACAGATGGGTGTTCCTAGAGGTCACCTACGGGAACTAGAAGTGCTAGGAGGGGCCTCAGGTGATCTGGCCACTAGGACCAGCAGGGGAGCCCTCTGGGTCCCCCAAATAGGCACCCATAGCGAAGGCCGCACCCAACTCCACTCACTTGCCCTCCCTCTGGGAGACATGGCAAGGCCCCACTGCAGAGTTCCAGGCCCTCACTCGCCTGCAGCAGACCCGAACCTCGAACCCCACACCTGTCCTCGCCACAGGGTCCCCTCCACCCGCTCTCCCCCACTGCCTGACATCTTGGGACAGCCCCACTCTGCCTGCCCTCATGTGGCCCCATCCCCTGACCCCAGCATCTAGTGACAAGCTAACTCTTGACTGGATTACTAGGTGAGGAACCTCTCTTCTGCAGAGAACAGAAACCACCGCAAAAGTCAGACGCAAAAACGTAAAAGAAAATGGAGGGAAGTGGACTTTCGTTGAATGACTGAACTCAGACACACAGCTCCCCAAGTCCGTTCCCGCTCTTAGTGATCCTATGGGGCAGGGTAGGACTGCTTCTGTGGGTTTCCGAGAAGGTCAGCCTGTATGGGAGTAGAAAGCCTCGTCTTTCTCCCGCCGAGCAGCTAGTGGCTTTGAACTGCTGACCTTGTGACTAACAGCCCAACATGTAACCCACTCACCCACCAGGGCTCCTTGTTCCACATGCCTGCTTTTCACATGAAGACTAACTTCCTTGAGGGACAGGAGCCATGTTTGCAACCCCCCACCCTCCTACGTAGATTATAGGAACCATTACAGGTAGCTCACTGGACGGGTAGATTGGGGCCTGCTAGCTTGTCTAATAAAAGGCAGTCTGTTTTGCAGTATCACCATGTTCTGATGGAGACAACAAATTGCAGGAGCTCAGAAGCAAGAGAGCATTAAGATCCTTGAAGAGGGGGCGGGGGCCGGGCAAGGCCCGCAGGTACTGAGCGGCAGGTTGACTCTGACACTGGTTTTCTTACCTGCTGACAAAGTGTGTTGCCACAAAGGGACTTCCACGCGGTCCTTTGACAATCTGGCCGCCTCTCCCTGCGTGGCTCCGTGCAGTTACCAAACAGCACTTCCCAGGGGGGTCTGAGTCCAGAGCCGAGGCTCAGCGCCCCAGGCCCCATGCTCATTGTTGGCCACCTGGGCTTCTAGGCTGTGGCTGTGTGGTACACCGGCTTCAGAAAGAGGAGCTTTCTACTCCCACGAAGGGGTCCGGTCTCCGAAACCCACAGGCACAGCCCTGTCCTCTCTCGCGGGGTCACCGGGGTCACCAGACTCGCGGTAGCAAGTTTGGTTTATCTCACAGGGGTGCAGTGCCCCTACTACTGACTGCCGTCCAGTCGGCCCCTCTCGTGGTGACCCCGGTACTGCGGGGCTGTGGTGCTCTGCTGAGTTGTCAGGAGTGAGATCCCCCAGGCTTTCACCTAACAGCACGCATTAGCGCTGCGCCCTCATCTTACAGGTGAGAGGACTCGAGCTCTGAGTGGCCGCCTGCTATGCTCAGCCACGCGCCCACGAGGGGAGGCCCTCTTGGCCCGGAGCCCGGGCTCTGCCGGCGGGACACCCAGACATAGCGAGGGGAGGGAAAGAGGGCGGGCGAGGCCAGGCCTCCACCACGCTCCTAAACCTCCTGCTGAGGACCGCCTCACTGCTGTCTGCTGGGTGGGGGGCACGCCCTCTCGTGCAGAACGACCTCCCTGCCCCGAGAGGGCAGATGGAAAGGCTGCTACTGAAGGGGTCACCTTGCTTGCTTCTGTAGGTTTTTTAAGCTGCTGATGGAAGCCATCAAGAAGAAGAATAACAAAGCGTCTGCCTTCCGGAGCGTGAACACTCGGAGAGCTACCCAGCGGGACCTAGACCACTCCGGGGAGTCGGGGGGCAGTCGGGTGAGTGGGCACAGCCTCCTGTCCCGGGAAGGCCCTGCCAGTCCCCAGCACTCCTCAGGCCCTCGTGGTGAGGACGGACGTCTCTGCTTTCCTGATCGTTCCTCCAGCTTTGGCCAGAGGCCCAAGGCCAGGGCCCGGGACATCTGAGTGCTCCGTCTCCTGAGCGTTGGCTCCCAGCCTGAGCCTGGGCTATGCTGCTTCATTTTGCTCTGCCTGACTTTCTCAGAGAAGCCCTGATAGCACAGGGGGTTCCGTGTTGAGCTGCTAAGCAGAGGTTAGCGGTTTGAGCCCACCAGCCACCCTGCAGGGAGAAGATGAAGCTTTTCGCTCCTGTAAAGGGTTACAGCCTCAGAACCCCCAGGGGCAGTGCTGCTGTGCCCTTGAGGGTCACCGTGAGTCGGGATCCACTCGGTGGCAGGGAGACTGGGTTTTTTGGTTTGGACGCTGCCAGGCCAGTTGATGGGGACTTGGGGGCATTTTGAGCTGCAGTGAAGAAAAGGGAGGGAGCCCCGGGATAGCCCCTGTAGGCACAGTCACCCAGGAGTGACCCAGTGACGGGACCACCTCTGCCCTGGCCGCGTGTGGTGCGGCGCAGCCATGGGAGCGGGGTGCACAGCACCAGAGAGGGTACTGGAGCTGACCAGGCACAGAGTGAGTGTGGGCCAGTGCCACTCTGTCCTCTCGCTGAAGGAACCTAAGGACTCAGAGCCCGGGGTGGAAGAATGGTTTGAATGCTGGCTTCAGAAATGCTCAGGCATCCTCACCAAAACAGCCCTTTGGCCTCGTGCCCACCTGCAACAGGTGTGTCAGAAGTATTTGAAAGAATATTCTGAGAGGCGTACCTGTCATCTTTTGGAGCCCTGGTGGCTTCGTGGTTACGAGCTGGCCTGTAACCACCAGGTCAGCAGTTTGAAACCACCAGCTGCCCCACAGGACAAAGGCAGGGCTTTCTACTCCCGTATAGAGTTACCACCGTCTCGGAAACTCACGGGGTAGCTGTCCATTGCGAATGGACATCCGCTGGATGGCAGAGTTGGCCAGTCCCATCGTTTCATGGCTCGGCAAGCCCTGGCACTTTCCTCCTGGCCCTTCCCCTTAAGAAGGGAAAGTCTTTGCCAGCGGTGGGTGTGGAGACGAAAGCTCCAGGCAGGGGCTTGTGGCCGTGTGGTTAGGTGGGTAGGTAGACGGATGGATGAATGAGGGGGCGAGAGAGGGGTGGATGGGTTTCCCATGGGATCCATGCTGGCTGTCCGGCTGTATCAAGCACTAGGCACTGGAGTTCATCTTCCCTGCTTGTCCCCAAACCACAGGAGCAGGAAGACAATGAGGACGAGGAGGGGCGCATTGTAGACGCTGAAGCCGAGGAAGGGGACGCCGATGCCTCGGACGCCAGGCTCAAGGAGAAGCAGGAGGAGGAGGTGGGAGGCTGGGGTGAGGGTGGAGAAGAGAAGGTGCGGTGGATGGGGGGTGGCTGTGGTCACACCCTCTTCCTTCAGCTGGGCAGGACGGTGAACAGAAGCTGGGGTGGGGGGTGGGAGCGAGGCAGGGGACACGGCTTCTCTCTGCACTAGAATCCCATGAGAGGACCCAAAGGTCTCCGGCAGGGGAAGCTGAGGACGGACGGACACTCCCTCCTTGCTCCAGAGCAGCCCCTCCTGCCGCAGTTGCTGTGACGGGCGGAGGGCATTAAAGCTGGCAGGCAGGAAGGAGCCTGGAGTAGGAGCATGTGGGCCAGGCCAGCAGGGAGCCAGGACCCTGAGTGCCATGGCCTGTCCCCTGCCAGGTGGATTACGAGAGCGAGGAGGAGCAGGAGGAGGACAAGGACGGGGAGGACGAGGATGAGGACACGCTGCAGGAGGAAGGGAGCGGCCCTGGCGAAGGCTCCCAAGAGGGGGCCGCAGAGGTGGGCTTCAGCCCCGAGGACGCAGCCCCAGCGAGGCCTTGGCAGCCCACCCCGGGCCAGGGCACCGAGGCCTGCGAGCGCCGCATCCAGGCCGTGCGCGAGGCCCACCCGTTCGTGGAAGACTACAAGTACGACACGGAGGAGGGCCTGTGGTGCGAGGTGAGTGCTCGCCTGGCGCTGGGTGGGGCCAGGTCACGAGCCAGGGACTCTGAGTCAGCGGTTTTCTTACCCAGTCCCTTTAAGACTCTAGCGACGGCTCACAGGACCCTGGTTCTCTCCCTCCGGCTTTCCAGGGACAGTTTAGACATAGAACTGATCTGACAGCTGCTCAGGGTTTACACCTCCTTTCTCCCTCAGTGTGGCAGACACGGCCTCCAACTCAGCTGGTCCAAAAGGGCGTCCAAACCCACCCAGGGGTGCCTCGGGAGACAGGCCCGGTGGCCTGCTTCCTGGAGACCGTGCACAGTGGGTCTCTGCACCCGCAGCCTCGGCTCCCTGGCTGGAAGGCCTGTTGGTGGCTCTGGGCTGGAGTGGGTTTGGGCCACGTAGCCAACCCCGGCGGCCCAAGCAGAACCACCCCCATGGTGTTTTCTAGGCCGCGGTGATGATCTCAGGAAGGCGCCCTGGTGGCGTAGTGGTTACGAGTTGGGCTGTGAACTGCAGAGTCGGCAGTTTGAAACCACCAGCAGCCCCTAGGGAGGCAGGGCTTCCTCTCCTGTGAAGATTCACAGTGTCGGGAACCCACAGGGCCGTTGGGCCTGCCCACAGGGTGCCTGTGAGTCGACGTCCGTTGGCCGGCGGTCAGTGACAGTGTCTCTGCGGGGTCACATCGCCAGACCTTCCCCTCCCCCAGAGCCGCTGCGCCCCCAGGACTCCTTGCTGACCCGGATGCTTGCAGACAGGCTCCTCCTTATACTTTAGTCCCATTTAGTGGCTGGTGGCTGGGATTGCCCACCGAGGGCAAGTGGGTATGCAACTCTGCTAACTGGAAGGTCATCCAGATTGCCCGTGATCTGCTGGCTGAGGTGGCTGCACCTCGGAGTCAGACAGTAGTCACCTGGGCAGAAGACCCTCCTGCCCCAGCCAGGTGTTTTCTGACAGCACCTGAAGCTGCTCTCCGTCTTCTCTCACAGGTGACGGTGAAGCTGCCCCTGATGAAGGTCAGCTTTGACATGAGCTCCCTGGTCGTGTCCTTGGCCCACGAAGCCGTGGTCTACACGACCAAGGGCATCACCCGCTGCCTCCTGAACGAAACAACCAACAAGGAGAACGAGAGGGAGCTGGTGTTGAACACGGAAGGGATCAACCTGCCCGAGCTGTTCAAGTACGCCGAGGTAGGTGCCCGCTCCGCTCCGCTGCCCACCTGCCCTGCCCTGCCTCCTGGCCCTGCAGGCACATTCGCCTGGTGAGTGGAACCTGCTTTACATTCCTCGAACCTAGACATCCCCAAACCAATTTGAGCACATCTCCCCACCTTGAAACAAGCACGTGCCAGAAGCAGACTTGTGAGAAATCATTGGGAGACGGATTACTGCACTTAGTTGGGTGCTGGGAGGCCCAGTGGGCAGAGCCCTGGGTGCCCCTTCCCAGTCTCCCTGCAACGGTCTCACTTGCTTCTGTCCCAGGCACAGTACCGATGGAGCACTGAGCATGGAGCCCCTGGCACCCCCTGCCCCACACGTGCACGTGCACACACACAAACACGCACCTCTTCCCCTCCAACCCCCTCTCCCCAGGAGCCTTTCCAATCCTCCCCCAGAGGGTGGAGCAGGGAGCCACCCATGTGCTGCGGGGCATGCTTACTGCCGGAGTCCTGGGCCGGCAGGCCACCAGGGGCTTGCTCCTCTCCTGGGCCTTGGGCCCCTGGTGAGGCCTGACCCACCCTGTGGGGCTGCCCCAACCCTGCGCCCCACGCGCAAAAGGCTCTGCCAGGAAGCCTGCCATGCC